TGTTGTCATGAGTAGTTAGTGTATCCGTCGAGAATCTTCCTCTTCTTCTTCGCGTTCACCAGCAGTAAACTCTGACGGAAAGTTCTGGTTGTTCATCCACTTCTGGACTGCAGTTCTGTTCCAGAACCTGAGTGTCGCGTATGCATCCGTTTTTACAGATCTGACTCATTTGTATGCAGACTGCTGGTTCCTTTCCTCTCAGGCAGGTGCACTCCGACTTTGAAGAAGGCTCCCAATTAGTCTACTCTTACGACATGCTTTTGGGTAGGCAGTGGGTCTGTTCTTGTTTTCCCTATAACAGGGCCATGGAACCCACACCAAGATGCCAAGAATATTTTTAATGGGACATTTCGGGGCTTTTTTAAAATCCTACCCCAGATGACGTCACAGGACAGTCCAACATTTTAGAGGGTTGTAAGACTGGGTTTTCCGGCTTTCTGATGCTTTTAACGACCCCAAAACATCTAGAACAGGCCCTAACCACACGACTGCATGAAGCCTAGGTCCCACGACTGCATGCAGCCTAGGTCCCACGACTGCATGAAGCCTAGGTCCCACGACTGCATGAAGCCTAGGTCCCACGACTGCATGCAGCCTATCTACCACCCCCTGAAATATTAGACAGTCCAGTGACCTGTAGATTTTCCCTGTTTGGGATAGGATATTTTAAAAAGCACCCACATTTCTTGGTATTAGTGCAACGGGTTTTTCTTTTTGTCTGCCTCTTTGTAATCACATTGCGTTTATGCTGGCAGGGGAAGGAGCGGAGGTAGGACGCAACTGTAAATAGGCTAAAAATCACTGCTCTTGCACGACCGGCTCAGCTGGAGTCTTGCACAACCGGCTCAGCTGGCTCTTGCACGACCGGCTCAGTTGGAGTCTTGCACAACCGGATCAGCTGGCTCTTGCACGACCGGCTCAGCTGGAGTCTTGCTCGACCGGCTCAGCTGGCTCTTGCACGACCGGCTCAGCTGGAGTCTTGCACGACCGGCTCAGCTGGAGTCTTGCACGACCGACTCAGCTGGCTCTTGCACGACCGGCTCAGCTGGCTCTTGCACGACCGGATCAGCTGTCTCTTGCACGACCGGATCAGCTGGAGTCTTGCACGACCGGCTCAGCTGGAGTCTTGCACGACCGGCTCAGCTGGCTCTTGCACGACCGGCTCAGCTGGAGTCTTGCACGACCGGATCAGCTGGCTCTTGCACGACCGGCTCAGCTGGAGTCTTGCACGACCGGATCAGCTGGCTCTTGCACGACCGGCTCAGCTGGAGTCTTGCACGACCGGATCAGCTGGCTCTTGCACGACCGGATCAGCTGGAGTCTTGCACGACCGGATCAGCTGGCTCTTGCACGACCGGCTCAGCTAGCTCTTGCACGACCGGATCAGCTGTCTCTTGCACGACCGGCTCAGCTGGAGTCTTGCACGACCGGATCAGCTGGCTCTTGCACGACCGGCTCAGCTGGAGTCTTGCACGACCGGCTCAGCTAGCTCTTGCACGACCGGCTCAGCTGGAGTCTTGCACGACCGGATCAGCTGGAGTCTTGCACGACCGGATCAGCTGGAGTCTTGCACGACCGGATCAGCTGGCTCTTGCACGACCGGCTCAGCTGGAGTCTTGCACGACCGGATCAGCTGGCTCTTGCACGACCGGCTCAGCTGGAGTCGGTTGTAGCTCTTGCATCATATGGCCACCATAGCTTACCGAAGCGGGTTGATCGAGATCGACATTTTAGGGGTATTTTTTTCTTGAAGAAGAAGCATCATATGCCCGCCACCTCGCTAGCTTGAAAAGGATCCTTTACTTTAGGTTGTTTGTTGTTTTTGTAACCATTCTCTTTAAAAAAAAAAAAACGTATTGTAGGGAAACGTCTCAGGCAAGAGAGCAAGTGGTAGGCAGTAAGTAATAAAAGTGGGAGGACAACATCACATGAAGGACAAACAGCAGTCTGAGAGCGTGTACAACCAGGACAAAAGACAGAGCAGGTTGGAGATCTGTTGCATCCACTTCTTTTGTGATGACGGCACCTGATTAATTGATTGATCATATGCCTAACAAAGCTTATTGAAGTATGTTGAAGGGTAAGAAGAAGCATCATAAGCTTTATACTCTGCTGGCTTGGATCCCTTACTTTACGTTTTTGTAATCGTGAATTTTTGCTGGATACCTTGTTGTTGAACCTTGTCAGTTGAGACGAGAAAGAGAATTGTTAAAAGCTATTTAAATCATGTCTTGATATATGGAAGTGAATCATTGACAGTTGGTAGATTAGTGAACATTATTTGGAAGCCGTGGAGATGTGGTTTGTATAGACGAATAATGAGAATACATTGTACAGATAAAAAGAGTAATGAGGATGTCTTGAAATAAACTGACCCGCGAAGAGAACCGATTGCTCACGATGGAAAGAGACAATCTACATTCTTTGATGATGAGAAGGGGAAAACTATAGTACATCCTGACAGTAGGAAAGTTAGAGGGGAGAAGAGGCAGAGGGAGACCGAGAGAAAAGATGCTGGGCAGTTTGACATCATGGTACGGAGAATGATCTGTGTCAGAGTTGATTAAAAGTTCATGAAACAGAAGATTGTGGATAGACATGACCACCAAGGCCACACGGCATGGACTTTAAGAAGAGAAACCTGGCCGCTGACTTTATCACACAACATGTCATAAACTATAGCGTAACGATGCCGATATTCCGTCCATTTTTATCCCCACGCTAACTAGACACGGGTGCTGTCAGCCATCTTCCCTACTCGTGCTAGGAAAAAAAAAAAAACCACACGATTCCATGGTTAATATATCCATGTGGCAGGTGCAAGACCTTACTTATGACGCAAGAGTCCTCCACCCCCCCCCCTCCCCACAAAAGATAAGTTTAAGTTCTTTAGTGGGTATGGTGTATTACTTAATGTTGTCAAGGTTGGGCGCACTACACATTTATATCGGCTTCCTGCAACTTGTTTTTGTAAGCAGGTAGTGAAGTGCGAGTTATCCAAGCATTTCTCGCCTGACTTTTTTTCTTTCTTTCAATGGTAATTATTCTACTGATAAATTCCACTGTATGGATGACAAATAATATGGTTTCATATATATATATTATATATATATATATATATATATATATATATATATATATATATATATATATATATATATAAGTAAGGGCTTGTTGAGTCTGCAGTATCCAGGGCGTAAGAGAAATCCAGGGCGTAAGAGAAAAACTGCGACTTGATCTGTTCTGTTCATTCTCCTCCTCATCCCCCTTCTCTCTATCTTCTTTCTATTTTTCTTGCTTTTCCTGTTCCTCTAGCAGTCTGCAACACACACACACACACACACACACACACACACACACACACACACACACACACACACACACACACACACACACACACACACACACACACACACACACACACACACACACACACACACACACACACACACACACACACACACACACACACACACACACACACACACACACACACACACACACACACACACACACACACACACACACACACACACACACACACACACACACACACACACACACACACACACACACACACACACACCACACACACACACACACACACACACACACACACACACACACACACACACACACACACACACACACACACACACCACACACACACACACACACACACACACACACACACACACACACACACACACACACACAAATATATATATATAATATATATATATATATAGATATATATATATATATATATATATATATATATATATATATATATATATATATATATATATATATATATATATATTGGTTAACAACCTAACGAGGAAATTGGGAAGGTATTGATTATCATTAGGAGAAAGCATAAAATTAAAGTTACAATATGAAAAACTGTAAATTATCTATGGGTCTCTTTTCCAGAAGTCAAAACCCTCATTAAAAGAAAACTATAAACAGATTAGAAAACAGACACAGGTCATAAACTATGAACAAAAATGTCCTCAATCATCTGAACAGAACAGATCAAGTCGCAGTTTTTCTCTTACGCCCTGGATTTCTCTTACGCCCTGGATTTCTCTTACGCCCTGGATACTGCAGACTCAACAAGCCTTTACTTAGATAAATTATTCATGAGTCAGAGAACTTTCTGCCGTTGTCTTTGTGCTAAACAGACTCCACGGCATGTCTTGGAGGAGATGTGAAACGACCGGTGGCCAAACCCAGTAGCCATGACAACCTAAGAGACCTTGAGATAATTAAGTGCGTGACCAAAGATCGCTGAAGAACAAGATGAAGATCCACTGGTCTATTACAATGCAGACCTAGCACCATGTATCTGAGTACTGCCGTGGTGTAGTGGCTAGATGCTTGCCTCCGGGTCAGAAGATCGTGTGTTCAGGTCCTGACGGAGCCAGACTTTAAAAAAGTTTATCTTGGCTTCAAGGTCAATCCAGCCGTGAGTGGGTACCACGTCAAGTTTTGGGAAGTAAAGGCGTCCAGCGTTATGTTGAACACATTACCCGCCGAGTGCAGATTGGTCTATAAAATATAGGTCTAGCCCTATAGGCTTAATATGCCCTAAATAATTCTTTACTAAAATTTTACTTACCATATATCTAATGCCTCAGGTACGAGAAAAATGTATAAGAATTTATCCCTCAACTAAACTTCTTCTTCTTCTTCTTCGTGTTCACCAGCTGTAAACTCTGGCGGAAACTTCTGGTTGTTCGTCCACTTTTTAACTGCAGTCCTATTTTAGAAGCTAAGTGTTACTTGTGCATCCGTTTGATAGATCTGACTCATTTGTATACAGACTGCTGGTTCCTTGCCTCTCATGCAGATGCACTTCGACTTCAAAGGAAGCTCCCAATTTGTCAACTCTTACGACATGCTTTTGGGTAGGCAATGGGTCTATTCTTTTTTTTACCCCATAGTAGGGCCCCTGAACCCACAACTAAACAAAAACGTCTGTGTTTTGTTCACAGGTAAACAACAATGGAGTCATCTCATTCTTTGACGAGCTGAGGACTTACAGACCTGAAGACTTTCCTCTAACAGAAAAAATTCCAATCATAGCACCATATTGGGCCGATGTAGACATATCCATTTCTAATGGCACAGTGTGGTATCGGGAATCCAGAGATCCACAACTGTTGGCCAAGGTTGGTGTTTGAAACTGATGTTGGTGATATTGTATAAATTGTCACTTCAGATATTAGTGTGTCAATTACTTATATCCCCTTCTCCTCCTCCTCCTCCTTCTACTTCTTCCTCCTCCTTATCTTTATCTTCCTCCTCCTCCTCGTTCCCCTTCCTCTTCCTCCTCCTTCTCGTCTTCATCTTCCTCCTCCTCCTCGTCTTCCTCTTCCTCATCTTCCTTCTCCTCATCTTCCTCTTCCTCGTCTTCCTCTTCCTCTTCTCCTCCTCCTCCTTCCTTCTTCTTCTTCTTTTTCCTCCTCAACTTCTTCTTCTCTTCTTCCTTTTCCTTCTTCTTTATCTTCTCTTTCCTCTTCCTCTTCTTCTTCTTCTTTATCTTTTCTTCTTCATCCTCCTCATTTTCCCTCCCCCTTCTTCTCCATCTACTTTCCTCCCTGCTTCTTCATCTTCTTCCATTTCTTCATTCTCCTCCTCATCCCCCTTCTCTCTATCTTCTTTCTATTTTTCTTGCTTTTCCTGTTTCTCTAGCAGTCTGCAAACTGTCTCAGAAAGTCTTATTGTTCATTCATGTGTGGACTTTGGTCTTGTTTCAGGACTTGAGTGTTGTGTGCATATCTGTTTGACTGATCAAGCTTATTTGTGTGCAGGCTATTGGTTCCTTGCCTCTCTGGCAGATGCATTCTGATGTTAAAGGAAATTCTGGCTGGGGAACATGTTTCTTGGATGACCTCAGAAAGTTATACTTAGGTCTAGACCATTATGAGCCATGGTCGTGGTGCACCAGTGCAGGTGGCGCCTTATGTCTGCTTCCAGTTCATGTGTTCAGTCAGTGACAGTTTATGTAATTTTATTATAGAAGATAAAACCTGATATCCTTTTTGTATCAGTGGCTTTAGATGGAGGAGTTATTTGGAGAGGCTCTACTAGCCTTATTCTAGGGCGCAGCCCCCCCCCCCCCCCACACACACATACATACACACACGTGTAAATGGAGCATGAAAAAAATATTTAATAGCAGGCAGAGCCCACTTACACTGCTAACTCTGCTACATGTGGTTGTGGCTTACCAAAGCCCACTTACACTGCTAACTCTGCATCATGTGGTTGTGGCTTACCAAAGCCCACTTACACTGCTAACTCTGCTACATGTGGTTGTGGATTACCAAAGCCCACTTACACTGCTAACTCTGCTACATGTGGTTGTGGCTTGCCAGAGCCCACTTACACTGCTAACTCTGCTACATGTGGTTGTGGCTTGGCAAAGCCCACTTACATTGCTAACTCTGCTACATGTGGTTGTGGATTACCAAAGCCCACTTACACTGCTAACTCTGCTACATGTGGTTGTGGCTTACCAAAGCCCACTTACACTGCTAACTCTGCTACATGTGGTTGTGGCTTACCAAAGCCCACTTACACTGCTAACTCTGCTTCATGTGGTTGTGGCTTGCCAAAGCCCACTTACACTGCTAACTCTGCTGCATGTGGTTGTGGCTTGCCCGGTGATTACCCCCTCCTCCCAAAAGGAAAAAACCCCACTCATCTCCCTTTGTAAAAATCTAGGAATACGCTCGAGACTAGAACATACACTTATAGTTTTATCTGTAGACCTTATTAGATTTCATAGTTTTAGATACTTTTAATTCTTGAAATGTACTGATAGAAATTTTCATTGTGGCCTGTTTTTTTCCCCAGCGCAGCTTACAAGCATATTGTTTTGTTTTTGACGACAATGGGTTTACATTTTAATACCATTGTCAAGTGAGTAATTAACCCTTTTGCCCCGGGGACCTAGACAATAAAATGAGGTGGGGGGGGGGGGGGTGTGTTTAAATGACATGGTCAAGATATTATGGTCACCCAGTTGTGCTATAGCACTATGGAAGACTAACATCTAGAACAGGGCTTTCAAAATGTCTTGTTTGTTCACGTTGCTGACCCATGTTTCAGATAAGCACAATTTTGCGATACTAGTAGTTGCCCAAATAAGAGAAATCTATCAGGAACCATTATAACAGTTATAAAATAGAGAAGATGGCACTATATTGGACACATTCTGAGAACAGACGGCAGAGAATCACAAACAGCACTGAAATGGGAAACAGAAGGATTAAGAAAATGTGGACGTCCAAGAGAAGCCCTTGGACAAACTTTGATGAGAGAGGTCAAAGGTTGCTGGACCGGATTCCATCCATGATATTGAGGTCATTGCGGATATAATGGCATGGAGAAATAGACTGCAACCCTGTATGACATATAATGACACAAAAGGACAATGAATGAACGAAGTACGAATGAGATACAACCTTCACACCTTAACATATGTCAGGACTACTCACCTGATGGCCTGTGGGCCAAATCTGGCCCGTGAAGGCCTAGCAAATATAGCATTGCCAGTTGAATTGGATTAATGATGTTTCTATGCTGGGACTTGATAAATCACTGTCTTGCTTTAATTTAGTTTTAGTCCAGATAATTCTGAGATTGGTTTAAGAGCTTTAACAAGTGAATACCACATGGTGGCTAAATTTAATATTCACACTGTCGGAGAAGAAGAGAGGTGTATGGCCCATGCTTGTAATAATTATTGTTGTATATATATTTCCCTATTACTAGGAATATATTTTCAGAATATAGCTTCTGGCTTGTGGCGACCTCCCTTTTTCCAACATTTTGGTCCCTGTGTAAACTTAGTTGAATGGCTCTGATGTATGTGATGTTTTGCTAATGTTTGATGTAATTTAAAAGATTTTTTTTAAAGGTTATTATATCATTAATTTATTCATTTCAGTTATTCATCCATTTATTCATTTGTTAATTCATTCATTTGTTAATTCACTCCTTCAATAATTCATTTAATCGCTACATGCATTAATTATTTCATTCATTCATTCAGTGATATTTTCTTTTTTACCCTTAGAGGTGGGTAAGTGAAGAAATTCATTACGTGAATATGGTGTGTATGTGTGCGTGTGCACCTGCATGCATGCGTGCGTGGGTCTCTGTCTCTCTCTCTCCACCAAGACCGTACAATGAGCAACCTACAACCGACACACAAAATGCCAGCACCATTCAGATGAGGATCACCGGGGTACAAGTCCTAGAAACCCCGTTCAAGGTTATATTACCCCCCCCCCCCTCCCACCCCACCACTTCGACCACACTTGTGTGGCTTTAAAATAATGCAAAATTGCCTCTTATATTGACACGAGGAGCCAACAAAAACACGTTGCGTATATGTTGTTACCTCTGTATGTTTATAGACTGGTCATCTCTCAGTGGGTGATGTGGTAAAGATCACGCCAGCAGTCTCTACTAGACAAGCAGCGGTAATCAGGTATAATTGCAGTTCTAGCTTCAAAGCAGATGGAACACTGCATAGTTGCACACACAGTTAATCATATAAGGCACCCCCACTTCTCTGGCAATTGGCTACTTACCAATTTCCGAATCTGCAGCTCACAACACAAACCCATGGTGAGCACAGTAGAAAAGCAATCTAAATGAAATCTGCAGCTTACAATGACAAGCTATGCACTCAGTTCAGTAGCTGGGTGATGGGACTATATCTTTTAAGTCTACATATAGAGGAAAATGCAATGGTGAAATATTGTCAAAAGCAGAAACTTTCCATGACTCAAGCAGTGCTAGCCATTGATTTGAAACTAATGTTGATGGATGCTCAGGATTCATCCTCTGTATTTAATTTTGTGGGTACAGCCTTATTATATACATTGTGTTAGTCTAAGTCAATGGTTCTTAACTTTCCTAATGCAGCGACCCTTTAATACAGTTCCTCCTGTTGTGGTGACCCCCAGCCGTAAAATTATTTTTGTTGCTACTTCATAACTTCAGTGAAAATGTTTATTTTTTTTAATGGTCTTTGGCAGCTCCTGTGAAAGAGTCATTCAACCCACAAAGGGTTCATCACCCACAGGCTGAGATCCACTGGTCTAAGTTAAACCAGAGAACTTTCAAATGTAATATTCCACATCTTGGTTCCACTGCTTCAATTTTGGTGGACAAAAACAGAGTATACCCATTGCCCCCTCCTTATTAAGCATATTGTGAAAGGCAGTTAATTAGGAGTTAGATGAATTCAGATGTTAGATGTTTTGGCAGAAAGCTGCAGATATCATAGCCTTGTTGTAAACCACAACACAACATGCCAGCCAAATTAAAGGCTGAGTATGTGGCGATGACTACATTACTCACTGAATACAGATCGATCTGTACAAATATCAGTGTAGCATCATATGCCTGACATTAACATATTATTAGCACTGTTTTAGTTATGACAACTTTTTGCTTCTGACAATAGTTAGCCATTGCATTTTCCTCCAAGTATAGACTGAAAGGATATAGTTCCATTGCCCAGAAACTGAACTGAGTGCAGGGGCAACAGATTTAAGAATGCTTTTTAACTGTGCCCAACATGGTTTGTGTTGAGAGCTGCAAATCAAATATTGATTTAAAAAAAAATCATAACATTCTTTTGGAAAGTGGGAAAAGTTGAAGGCAGGTGAGCAAGGTGTAAATTGCCATACAAGTGGGAGGTAACATCAGGAGATAGATGCACAGCAGTTTGAGACAGTGTACTACAACCAGCATGAAATAGAGAGAGATTGAGAGAGATCCATCAAAACCAGTTTTTAAATTGTGGCTTGATTTCATGATTGATCACTTGATTGATTGATTAATCAACACATACTTTCTGTCTTACAGGCTACCAATGAAATAAGGGCATTTTCTGCATACAGAAACTTTCAAGCGTACTGGGTGTTTGTTGCCACTTGGGATGAAGTAGGTTTCTTTGGGGCTAGTGAAGACGGTTTGAATAAGGTAGGTCTGTAGAAGGCTTTCTTGTTTACTAAATGCTTCTTTGAAAACGCAAATAGATTTCAAGTAAAACAATTGTTGTTTTTGTTTTTGCTGTCGTTCTTCTTCTTCTTTCTCCTAGTATTTATCTTCTTCAGAACTGGACAGTCTATTGGTGGTGAATTGATGTATGACAAGCTAGATGTTGTGAGGGCCCTTTGGAGGCAAATGAACAGTGCGGAAGCACAAATTGATCATTACGGACTGAGCAGTATGGAACTGCAAGGAGTTACCAGGGGATCTGGCCGACGCTCAACACTCAAGGGAAAGGTGAGATGGATATACAGACATATCTGATATCATCAGAATTGGAACTTTTTGCTTGCTGCTGAAGATGAGAACGGAATTCCATCTGGGGAAAAACAAGACCAGATCCACTGTCCTTGTAACAAGCATTTCATAAAAGGGGACTAGTTGAGGGTGTTTCCTTTGAAGTCATTCATCCCCTGAGAGATGAGGAACCAGTGATCTGCACACAAATAATTCAGATCTGTAAAATGGATTTGCATGCAGAACTCATGTTCTTGAAGGAGGCTAAAGTGCAGAAGTGGACAAACAACCAGAACTTTTTACCGGAGTTTACAGTCATGAATTCTGAGAAGAAGAAGAAGAGGAAGACAAGCTTTAACTGTGACCAGCTGTTGTGTGTGAGGATACAGATCAGATGAAACAACCTGTTAAAAAATTTGGATTGTCTTTAAAATATTTTTCTAGGCAAGAGGGACCCAGGAGAAAATTAACCATCTGGGGTTGTAACTTCTGGAACATCCACCTTACAACCCCAACTTTTTGGTCCAGTGAAAACCCACCTTGGTAGGAGACATTTCGTGAATGACACAGAAGTTCATTGTAAAGTTAAAATGTGGTTTAGAAAACAGAGCACACAGTTCTCTGCAGAAGATTTGTGAGGACTGATAAAATGATGGGACAACTGCATCATTGTTGGTGGAAATTAAGTTGAAAAATAAAGAGTCAATGAATGTGTGAAAATCGGTTTTCAAGTTGTTATCATCTTTAATTTTCTCTTTTTTTTTTTAAACCACCATTTGTGACTTACTTATTGTCTTCCCCTGTATTTAACCATGCACTGGCGATGGGGTTGGAGCACTTTTGGGAATGCCCCAAATGCTGTGATGTCGGTTCTTGAATTGACTCAGCTCATAATTTTTAAGCATGTTCTGGCAAAGTGCAGTGACGCAGTTGTAATATTTCCCCTGCAGTGCAGTCTGGGTTGTTCTGCTATTGTGCAGGAAGCTAAATATGATTCCAGGGGTGACTGACTGACGTTAAATCCATCCAGGATATCACAACGAGTGATAAACACCCACTGACACCAAGTGCCACCGTTGAGATGAGCATCACCCAGGGACTGGTCCCAGAAACCCTGTTCATCCCATTGGTTTGGTTGTGTTAGGGCCCCCGGCCACAACCTGAGTGGGGCTTTAAAACAACAACAAATTGCGTCCAACATTGGGACGAAGTGATTTTTCTAGGCAAACATGATTTCAGGGGTACATGGAAGTGTGCATGAGCACCTAGCTATATTTTATGAGTTCAAAGTTCTGATTCTGATCAAAAATGCCATCCCTGCTTCCAGAAAAATACATTCCAAGCAGTGTTGGTGTTGGATACAACTGGCAAGCTGTCATTTGTGATCTTGAATTATGCAAAAATTGAATGGACAACAGGGTCAAACAGCCTCGGACACTCGTTAACGGGCCTCGGCGGTAATCCGGCCCAGGTATGGCAGGTAGATACAGCGTAAGACTTGGTTGTCTCCCTTAGACCTGTATTTTTCAAGTTTAGTTCACGTTATTCATTGAAGTTTAGTAGCTTTCATCATTTTTGTTTTAAATTCTTGTTATCTTTGTTTTAAAGTTTTTAGATGTTCAGTTTTGTTTTTAGTGTGTTTTTCCTTGTAGTAAAATTCACATTGTGAGAAGCTTTGCCAGTTTTTAGTGTGTTTTTCCTTGTAGTAAAATTCACATTGTGAGAAGCTTTGCCAGTTTGTGCAGCTCAGTGCAAGAATAGTTTTCTACTACACAAATCACCAAAACAGAATGGCTCACGACACATTCATATCATCATCATTGTTTAGTGCGTAGTACACTTGACCAGTCACCAGAACTGTAGTGTTGTGGAGTAGGGATGTAAATAACTTGTTGCAACAAAGTTCCTCATCTCTAAGAAACAGAGTCGAGTTTACCTGCAGATTTGCCTGTAGATGCCAGGTAGTAAGATGGAAATTTATTAACTGGCCAGTTTTTGAGCATTGTGAACGCTGTATTGCATGGCACTGGATATTGAATATTTTATTGAAATTCATACTAAAGACATTTTTAAAGATAATGACAGCCTATTTCAAGCAACAACAAAAAATAAAGAGAAGAGAACTTTTAACTTTTAAATTATCGGAAACTGTCACCTGGATTGGCTTGGTTATTTTCGTTGAAGATTTTCAAAACCTAAAACATAATCTGATTCTCTTAACAATTTTACCAGCCCCAAAAATATACTTCTATTATGAAACAAAATTTTCAGTGCAAAAAACATCCTTTTACAGTACTGATTTTCAAAGCCTGGAACCGTGCCATTCCGGTATAGATTATGAGAGTATAGAAAAATGTCATTCTAATACAGATTTTCAGAGTATAAAACCATATTATTCTGGTATAGATTGTCAGAGTATAAAACCATATTATTCTGGTATAGATTTTCAGAGTATAAAACCATATTAACCTGGTATAGATTTTCAGAGTATAAAACCATATTATTCTGGTATAGATTGTCAGAGTATAAAACCATATTATTCTGGTATAAATTTTCAGAGTATGAAACCATATTATTTTGGTATAGTAGATTTTCAGAGTATAAAACCATATTATTCTGGTATAGATTTTCAGAGTATAAAACCATATTATTCTGGTATAGATTTTCAGAGTATAAAACCATATTATTCTGGTATAGTAGATTTTCAGAGTATGAAACCATATTATTCTGGTATAGATTTTCAGAGTATAAAACCATATTATTCTGGTATAGATTTTCAGAGTATAAAACCATATTATTCTGGTATAGTAGATTTTCAGAGTATGAAACCATATTATTCTGGTATAGATTTTCAGAGTATGAAACCATATTATTCTGGTATAAATTTTCAGAGTATGAAACCATATTATTTTGGTATAGTAGATTTTCAGAGTATAAAACCATATTATTCTGGTATAGATTTTCAGAGTATAAAACCATATTATTCTGGTATAGATTTTCAGAGTATGAAACCATATTATTCTGGTATAGTAGATTTTCAGAGTATAAAACCATATTATTCTGGTATAGATTTTCAGAGTATAAAACCATATTATTCTGGTATAGTAGATTTTCAGAGTATGAAACCATATTATTCTGGTATAGATTTTCAGAGTATAAAACCATATTATTCTGGTATAGATTTTCAGAGTATAAAACCATATTATTCTGGTATAGTAGATTTTCAGAGTATGAAACCATATTATTCTGGTATAGATTTTCAGAGTATGAAACCATATTATTCTGGTATAGATTTTCAGAGTATAAAACCATATTATTCTGGTATAGTAGATTTTCAGAGTATGAAACCATATTATTCTGGTATAGATTTTCAGAGTATGAAACCATATTATTCTGGTATAAATTTTCAGAGTATGAAACCATATTATTTTGGTATAGTAGATTTTCAGAGTATAAAACCATATTATTCTGGTATAGATTTTCAGAGTATAAAACCATATTATTCTGGTATAGTAGATTTTCAGAGTATGAAACCATATTATTCTGGTATAGATTTTCAGAGTATGAAACCATATTATTCTGGTATAGATTTTCAGAGTATGAAACCATATTATTCTGGTATAGTAGATTTTCAGAGTATGAAACCATATTATTCTGGTATAGATTTTCAGAGTATAAAACCATATTATTCTGGTATAGTAGATTTTCAGAGTATGAAACCATATTATTTTGGAATAAATTTTCAGAGTATAAAACCATATTATTCTGGTATAGATTTTCAGAGCCTGCAACAATGCCATTCTGGTATCAATTTGTAGAGCCTAAACAAAGAAATTTTGGTATATATTTTCAAAGCCTGAAACTATGCCATTCTGGTATAGATTTTCAAAACCTGAAACTATGCCATTCTGGTATAGATTTTGAAAACCTGAAACCATGCCATTCTGGTATAGATTTTCAAAGCCACAGAAGGGGATGTCATTCTTGTGTCGATTTTTAAAGCCCCACAACTTAATTCTTTTCTGGTACATTTATTTCAGTCCCTCAAAAGATAGTTCTTGTCTGGATAAAATTGTTGGTACCTGAAGTAAAATCTGAAATATCGACTGTTTGAGGTGACGAGACGAGAAAGCCAGAGTTGCATTCTATCCCTCTTTTCAACAGATATGCTGAAAATATTATGAGGCATGTGACAGCTTTGATCTAATCACAGTTGGAAGCAAACCTATCCCAGAACTCAAATATGTGGAGAATACAGTTCTCCTTTCAAATAGTGTACAGAGCTTAGAAGCATGAACTCTAAGTAAAGTTAAAAAAAACAAAAACAAGTAAAGATCTGTTTTCACGCCTTTGGCACATCGGACATATGGGAAGGTCACGCCATATTTTTACAGACCAATTGGCACTAGGTGGGTAATGTGGTCAGCATTACGTCGGCCGTCTTTACTTTTCCAGGACATTCATCCTGGTATCCATTTTGGACTGGTTCAACCTGCGATGCCCCATACCGTGATTAAAAAAAAACCATGTAGCCACAGTGGGTTTCGATCGCGTTACCTTGGAATTACAAGTCAGACTTGCAACGCCTAAGCAGCATGAATTCTGCGGTTTGAAAAAACAAAAGTGAATTAACAAAAATGTGAAACATCATGGCAACTTAGAGAGAACACTGATGAAGGGGATAGTTTCTAGAAAAGGAAGCAAAGGCAAACCTCCACAAATGTGGATACAAGACATTGAAGATGCATTGGTTATGAAAGCACGTGGCCCTGAAGAGCTGGCTTGAGAAATAGAAACTTTCAATCATGCTGTAATGAGAGTGATATTCTATAAAGAAATTGCTGATTGTTGGTGAAATAAAAATCCCAAACTGGTATCGATTTTCATAGCCCCGAAGACTATCTCAGCAAAACGTGCAGCAGCAAAATTATGTATTGAAAATTTTAAACTGCTGCAATATCGAATGAACAAACAAACAAATTTTACTTTCAATCGGTCAAAAATTGGGCACGCAGGTCTGTCTTACATTTGGCCCTTCCAACCACCCATCTTTCACACTGCATCCTAAGGGTGAGAATAACAAACTAAATATTCACAAATGTGGTAAAAGAATTTTTGTATTCCACTTGAATATCCAAACCATCTTTTACACCCCACTGCACTTTATTGACCTTGACATTATTATGTACATTTATTACAGGGCTATGAGCTTTGCCTTTGCATATGTACCTTATATTGCACTCTTCACTTTCTGTAGCTCGCACCCAATTGTCCTTTGGCAGTCACACAATGCATGTATTTAGCCGACACTCAGATCCCCATATATATATCATCATCATCATTAGCAGCTTCTGAATCAGTACCACATAAAACCTACTTAGTTATGCATGTGTTGAATTCTCTCCCCTTTTACATTATGTCTTGAAGGACTGAAACCAAAATATATAAACTTAATCACATTTTGTCTTTGATTAAACGTTTTGCTTTTAAATAGATTATTCCATTTTAATTCTTATTTTAAGTTTTTGTTTTTTCCTTTTCTTTTGTAAACCTTTTACTTCAGTTCTTTGTATTGGAGACACCAATCTTATGCATGTTTATCTACTATATTTGTGTACGTTTTCATGTATAAATTAGTGTATTTAGTTTATCCAATTTATACAGTAGCTGAGTGTGAATAGCATATTTGCTTTTTTTGCATTAGATCATTTTTGGCTACTGCCATAACTTTTTAGTTTCAGATGGTCAGAGTTGACACCTGAGTGAGGCAGTAATGACAGCTATAAAATATTGTGTTTTCTACATCTAAAAGGACCAAATACACACTCCTTATAAGAAATATATTTGTTGAACAGAGTTCTTTCTTATGCCCAGACAAAATGTAAGATGTACAAACATACATAACAAGTTTATTAGTATAAATAATAGTAATGCATTTACAACAACAATAACAAGTGTCAGTCTCTACATCCATGAGGACCAAATATATGCTCCTTGTAGGAAATATTCATTGAGAGCTTGAGTTTTCCCTGACTAAACATGATGTAAACAGACATGTCTACCATGTTGATTGGTGTGCCTAAGTAATATCCAATTTGCCAAACTGCCATCATTGCCTGTTTTTACCAATTTTGTGGTGTAACCCTAGGATTTTGGACCACATTGCTTGTGCTGCCACCACAGACTGTGCAGGCTAAGGTTTCATTTTTGACCTGAAAAAAAAAAAATAATCCATGATCTTACCGAGCATGAGAGTCCACAACCTTCTTAACTGTTTAGCCAGTTGCTTCTCCAATCCAATAAAAAAAAATGTATAGCTGTTCTGCATCAATCAACAGGAGCCAAATACTCACTCCTTAAGTACGCTCTGACTAAATATGAGATATACAAGCACATGTAACCTGTTGACTGATATACAGAGTTAATGTCCAGTAACATTGACCACATCTTTGGTCCTGAAAGAGATAGGTTTGAGGTTTAAAGAACGGATCAACATCGTGGCACACAGGTAGTAACCCGTAAGTGCTCTGTTCTTCTAATTTGTGTTTGAAAAAGCTCAGCACAGTGCACAGGCTCTATAGCACCGGTGAGGATCCTGAAATACTTTGGGTAGATTTTAACTCCAAATTTTGCCTGGGCAGCACCGTTAGGCTACTCTTTACGATTTCCAACTGCCAAGAGATTTTGTACGTGCGCAACAATGCACATGTGCGTCTGATCTCACTACCCAGAGACCAGGGGGAATTACTAGAAGTCCAAGTCCACATGAAAAAAATCACAGCCCATAACGAGGATTGAACCCAGAACCTCTAGCACTTGAGACGGACACTATGCCTCGAGATCTTGAAAGAGATAATAAGGCAGAAAAGCAATCTCAAATCCTAGATTAGATAATGATAAACATATCATATAATGAAACCCAGCGGTATGTCATTCTGGATTTTGTACTCCAAAATGACTTTGGGCTCCCAGGTGACCCAGCCTTAAGTGGGTACCAGGTCAAGTCCTGGAAAGTAAAGGTGGCTGGTTTGATGTTGACCACATTATCCACCCAGTGCTGATTGGTCTGTAAAATAATATAGATCTAGCCCTATAGTCTAGATACACCTCAAGGCATGAAAAGGAGGTTCTTTAGTTTTTACTTATATAATTCTAATGAATCTAAACCCAGGTAAGGCCATGATCTGCTAGGAAGGGATACCACGGCAGTTAGGTTGTCATTCATGTGAACATTCAGGAACCATTGGGGGAACTAAAACAAGATAGGGAAATTCAAATAGAAGACTGGATGTAGAGGTGCTGAGCCATAGGTTGTAGTGCACTAGGACCAGAGCTCACACTCACGTTTCTACACCTCTCCATAGTCCTCAATGAAAGAGATCCCCAAACAGGGACCTGGCCAGCTTATACCAGTGTTTCCTTAAGTTGTAAACCCTTTGGCTCGATACTATGGATATCGCAACCGTTCGGTCTTGATTCCATTATAGGTACCGTAAATCAGGGAGAATGTGGCGTTTCTGCCTACCCCCTGGCGTGAACCCGGACCACAATGAGTTCATCACCTGGCCACCGCGAAGTCAGCTTTAACCAGCTGCGCTAGCGAGCCGGGCAACCAGTGTTTTCTTCAAAGTCATAGTGCGTCTGTCTGAGAGGCAAGGGACCAACAGTTACCATACAAATGAAGCCAAATCTGTAAAATGGATGTGCACACAAATCTAAAGTGCTAGAACTAGACCAGAGTCTAGAAGTGGAGAAACAATCAAGATGTTTCAAGTCCGTGCAACCTGAAGACGAAGAATACACCAAACATTATTACAGATAAAGACAGTCTATTTCCAGCAGACAAAAAAAAAAAAGGAAAAGAAGAAGAAGCAGAAAAATAAGAAAAGTATCCCATAATTTCCATTACAAAATAATGTAATCTCTGTTTAATTTCATATAGGAAGAGTGTGTATACTATTGATACCATGCTCATAAACCGTATATATGTTCTAGTTTTCCATGACGTTTTATCAGTTTTCATAAGCCATTTGCTTTTCAATGTAACATACAAAAGAGGCAATCAGCTATATGATTAGAGAACTTGACCAATTTCTGCAACATTTTGAACCTTCATAAAACGCATGATGATAATTTAGACTAGACATGGAATGCTGAAATTATTATTTATGATTGACTAAACAACCAAGAACAAAAATACCCCCTTTTCCCAAGTTTCACTTGTAGCCAGTTTTTTTTTTAAATAATTCCTTTAGCTATTGTTTGGAACATGATAATGATGATGATTATATAAAATCTAGTTAATTAAACTTAGTTATATAGATTACAGAAGTTTTAGTTTTGACCTATTATTGTGTTATATAAAATACAATTTTATTATTTAAATATTCAATGGACAGAAGGTTGCTTTGTTTAAATTTATCCTATTTACAAGTTTCAAAAATTCAATTTATAAATGTAAAACATTAATATAGTGTTTTTTTAAAGAAAAAATAAGTTTATAAACAAAAAAAAGTTTTCAGCTTCCAAAAAGAGAAAAGTTCTTCCCAACTTCTGTACTAGACTTGACAAATGTTTACAGTTTGTAAGAGTCTTGAATGTTGCTGAACAGTTAGTTAGTACAAGTATACAATTGTAATAACTGAGCTATTACAAGATCAGATAAACAAAGGGAGCATAATCAGATAAACAAAGGGAGCATAATCAGATAAACAAAGGGAGCTTAATCAGATAAACAAAGGGAGCATAACTGTCTAATTGAACTTGGCATAAAATACTGCAGTGTTTTTATAGTAAATGTAGAAATCCCCCCCCCCCCCCCCCCAAAAAAAAAACTACTGGCAGTAAGATTAAGTAGTGAAGGGAAGGGCTCTGTGTGCACCTTTCATACAGGAGGCGTATAAGGCTAGACTTATATTTTATAGCTCTATCAGCGCTCGGGCTGATGTGGTCAGTATCACTCCAGTCAACATTACTTCCCAGAACATTACCTGGTACCAATTTTTGGCTATGTCGACCTGGGAGCAGGTGTCAAATTTGACAAACAATCCACTTCAGTGGGGGATTTGAACCCTAGACCTTCAGGCCAGTAGACAGACAAGCATCTAGCTCCTACATGACTGCTGCCTTCCTTACTAGCAGTGGAATTGTGATTTCCAAGACATAGTATGGATGGGACAAGAACACAGACCTGATCTATGATTATGGTGATCATGTGAGATGGTAAACCATGACTGCCTGTGTTAATCAATGGGGTGTATGGTGATAAGAAATATTTTCACTAAACTTAAAGAAGATGGTGATATATCAAGCACATCCTGCGGACGCTAATCATCTGTTAACCAGCGATGCCTAATGGCGAGCTCCAGCGACGGAAGAGGTCCCAGGGAGAATAGAAAAAGCACTATAAGGACACTCTTAAGACTGTTGTCGGTTCTTTGCCATCAACACAGTGACATAGGAGGCTGCTGCAGAGGACTGTTCTGGATGGCGTACATCCCTCAAGCATGGTGCATCAGCCTGCCAGGCAGAGAATCAGTGGCTGACTAGAAAGAATCATATCACTAATCCCACACTTACTGCAGCTTCCGTTCTTTGTTCGCACTGCTCAAGAACTTCCCAGGCTCATATTGGACTAATCAACCCCCCTTGTATTCATAATCATTGATGATTGCTACTTTGGATGAAAAGTGGTCTTCATCACTGGGGATGGACAAACAACAACAGGGGCACAATATAACATTTGGACACAAGAAAGAAAGGCAGTATCAATAGAAATAAACTATAAAACTTAGTAACAGCCGGCAAATTTCAGATGGTGATATATTGGGCATATCATGAGAAACGAACATAAAATCACCAAACAGGCACTTAATTGGGAAGCAAATGAGTTGAGAAAGTGGGTTTGTCCAAGAATATTGATGAGAGAGGCCAAAGATGCCTCCCATGAAATTGAAGCAGTAGCACAGGATAGAATGGCATAGAATAGACTTCAAGCTCTATGTGACCTATAACCTCACACAAGGATGAAGATAATGAAGCTTGGATTCTTAAAGCAGCCAATAGTAAAGTAAGGGAGCCATTTCCACGCCTTGAGCCGGATTTGGCAAATAGTGCTAGACCTATATTTTATAAACCAATCTGCACTCAATGGTTGATGTGGTCAACATCTTGACGGCTGCCAAGGACTTTACCTGGTACCCATTTAAGGCTGGGTCGACCAGGGAGCCAAGGTTATTTTTTTTCTAAAACGTTGAGCTCCATCAGGACTTGAACCTACAACCTTCGGATCTGCAGGCGAATGTCTGACCAATGCTAGTGATAAACATTAGTAGTAGAACTAAAAAAAAGATTGTTAACAAAAGAAATTTATTTAAAAAAATTAATATTCTAGTGCTTTAAAGTCAAATGAAAAGAATAACAAAAGTAATCGTGTTTGCTGTCAGGTCATAATGTTTCACATTCCATTGTTGGTCAAAATGTGTTTTATCTTGGTTCGCCAGGCTGGCTTCAATGCCGGAGATACAGTTCACTTTTTTGAGATTGAAGGTGCTGGCACATCCTCTGTTATAAATCTCACTGCTACATCAAATATGGGAATACCTGGAAAGTGGATATTTCGCATCGATTCTTCAGAGATTCAAGATGTTTGTTCCCAGTCAGGTGGGTGAAGTACGGCATTTACGATCTTGTTGACTGAATATAATACATGTTTGCCTCTGTGTTTTTGACTTTTATAAATCTAATAAATATGATGTTTATGTTTATATGACGGATCAACATCATGCCACACGAGTATAACCCATAAGTGCTCCGTTCTACTTCCAACTCAAGCCTAAGTCTGAAGAATTTCAGCACAGTGCACCAGCTTCGTTACACCCGCGAGGATCTACTTTGGGTGGATTTTTAACTCCAGATGCAATATTTCCTCTGGTAACTTTGTTTCTAAGAAGAGATTCTTGAGATGAACACCTTGATATATTGAGAAGAGAAAAACAGGAATTACTGAAATACAAAGCCACCATTATATTAACTACATTACTCATTCTTGTAGTCTATGCCATGTGGTGTTGGTGGTTGTTTCTATCCACAGCCTTTTGTTTTATGTACTTCTTATAGTCCATGCCATCTGACGTTGGTAGTCCTGTTTATCCACAACCTTCTGTCTCATGTACTTTCAATCAGTTCTGACACTGATGATTTTCTGTGCTATTATTATTATATCAGACTGTCCAGCATCTTCTCTCTCTCTCTCTGTGTTTCCCACAGCCTCTCTTTCCCTCTGGCTTTCCAACTGTCACGATGTACTCCAGTTCTTCTTCTCATGACATGACCAAAGAATGTACATTGTTTCCTTTTAATGTGGGCAATTTCTTTCAAGACATCTTCATTACTATTTGTATCTGTCCATGGTGTTTTTATCATTTGTCTTTCAAACCACATCTCAACCACTTCCACATTAAATTTCACAAAATGACTAACTGTCCATGATACACTTCATCTTTCAGGATAGGGTTTATATAGCTCTTATTGAGCATCAAATGGTCTAAACACAATGGACAAAACAATCTTGACTGCAGCAGAACATGGCTCAGTAAAATGAAACAAAAAAGTATTTTGAGATAATACATGCATTTCACAAGGACCTTGAGCCAGGCGACCGGAAAATTCATGTACCCTAGCAAGGCATTATCAGAACTGTGTTAGTTAGGTGCGTATCCTTTACAGGACGTTGCAGAACGAACCCCAGCATTTGTTGGCAGCAATAATCTATTTTCAAGGGGGTTTTAAATGAAAACCTGAAAAGTGTGATAAATATTAAATGTTGAATATCGAATTAAGAATCAACATCATACCAGTCTGACACTCCCATAAACGCTTCGTCCCCATCTTCAGCAGCAAGTGAAGAATTCCGATTCTGAAAAAGTGTGATTATAAGTTTCAAAACAGCATGGCTTCTGTGACAGTACTGTCCATATTTTGGGCTATGGAGAGATGGAAAATACAGCATATGCTGTGTTGCATTTAAAACTTTTGACCAGATTTCTTTTGCATACTCAGACCAAGCATAAAATACAAAATAAAAGACCTTGTTTTGCACATATAAACATAAGCTGAACACACATGGCATGTAGCTTGTGAAAGAAAGATTCAGTTTATGGTTTGCTAATAGATCGAATTACTGTATCAGTAAATTATGTTTCTCTAAAAAGTGGTCACCAGTGTTAAAAGTTTTGAAAGATCTATTTGAGGACAGTATTACATTATCATATAAGAACGTGGAAAGACACCAGCGTGAAAACTTTTCAAAGATCTATTTAAGGACAGTATTACATTATCATATAAGAACGTGGAAAGATACCAGCGTGAAAACTTTTCAAAGATCTATTTAAGGACAGTATTACATTATCATATAAAAAATGGAAAGATACCAGGGTGAAAACTTTTGTAAGATCTGTTTGAGGACAGTGTTACATTATTATATAAAAATATGGAAAGATATCAGCGTGAAAACTTTTGGGAGATCTATTTGAGGACAGTGTTACCCTATTATAAAAAAATATAGAAAGATACCAGCGTGAACACTTTTGAAAGATCTATTTAAGGACAGTGTTACATTATCATATAAAAACATGGAAAGATGCCAATTAAAATCTGTTTTAATTTTCAATATTTGTGTTGTCTTCCAGAATCTAGTTTAGTCTCCTTCCAGCCAGCGTTCACCTCGATGCTAAGTGCAGATGCTATCACAGTGAATGGTCTGTGCCTAGACACAAAGGTGCCATCTATAGAAGGCCAGCTGGAGGGTGCCACAGGCCCCCGAGAATTATGCTGCTTCTTAGAGGATAATTCAGCCAGATGCTACCTGCCTCCATTGGTGCTTACAGGATTTGTAAATATATCATTGAAAATTGGCGGTGGAGGGTGGAATTACAGCGGAGAATTAGAAATTAGTAAGTATTTTTTTAGTGTACTAATCTTTTTCAAAATTAGATGTCAGAGAAAGGCTGCAGGAATGACCATAAGAGATAAAATAGGAAATGAGGTCATTATAGAAAAAGTCGGCACAGAACCAATTCTAAATTACATGTAAAGATAATAAATAGATGGTTGAGTTGAGTTGAGTTGAGTCAAGAATTGACATCACAGCACTCGGAGAATTCCTATGCATGCTCCGTCCTCATCTTCAGCAGCCAGCACAGAGTTCCAATACTGATGGCACCAGTCACAATCTGGTTAAAAGTCCGTCTTGCCTTTCCTCTGAGTGAAGTTACCCAGCCAGACCCTCTGGTTACACCCAGGTGCCTCATTCTCTCCAGGCCATAATAATCTTCTCTCTCTACTGATAAAATCAGATGGTTGACCAACTTAGATAGAAAGCCTTGTGACGCCATACCATACAAGCATACACCAAAAGAGGAGAAGGGCGTAGAGCACAAGGTTGACTAAAGACAAGATGGAAAGATAATGTTAGAGAGAATCTACAACAGCACAGTGTGTCTGTGGTCGAGGGAGACAGAAGAGCAAGAAGCACCTTATTTCTACCTTGACACCCAAACATGTGAAAGAGGAAGCAAAGAAGTAGTTAAGAAGTAGTTATCTTTTTGGTTTTGTATTAGCTGAGCCTATATAGGCAAAAATATAAATATAGCTAACACTGTAGCTTACCATGGATGTATATAACAGTTGAAGTCAGCTTCACTCACAACAAAACATAAAAGAAAATTAGTAACCATGGAAATGAGGAGTCTGAGAAAGGCTATAGGAGTGACTAGAAGAGATAAAATCAGGAATGAGTCAGTAGATAACCAATTCTGAATTACATATGAAGACAGCAAACCAAATGGTTTGCCAAGTTGGAGAGAATGCCTTCAGATGCTATACCATACAAGGCAAATACCAAAAGAGGAGAGGGATGTTGAGCAAGAGGTTGATCAAAAACAAGATGGAAAGATAACATCTGAGAAACTCTTCAGCACCACGATGTGTCTCTGGTCGAAGCAGCCAGAAAAACACAAAGCAGGACCTTATATCTCCCTTGACACTTGTTGTGGTAAAAGAGGAAGTAAAGAAGAAGAAAGCTTCAGCTACAAAACTCAATCACTGATGAACTGGTCTGCAAGTAGCTTAGCATGAGGTGGTTGAAGACCTACATTTTGTCAGCAAAGAAGTTTCAGTTGGGTCATCAAGTAATTTTGGTACTTGTAATAATCTGTTACACAAACATTTTTTTTTTTAGTTCAATTGTAAATAAAAATAGTTTTAAACTATTGTTATTTTTAAAACTTAAAAGTCAAGGATGTTGTTATTTTCATGTGCAGTTTATACATCTACAATAAAAAATTGGATTATAGAATAATATATAGTTTAGTTGCATATCCTTTACAGGACGTTGCAGAACCAACCCCAACAGCCCCTGGCTGTTGTGTGGTTTTTCTAGGCAAATTTACGTCCCATAGTTTGCCTTTGCTTTCTGGACGGTGAGCTTTCTTGATACCACTGTCAAAACCAACGGAAGGCCCATGGCCCGCAGCTGGGATCAAACCCGGCATCCCGGCATTACGAAGCGTTCGCATCGACTTAGCCACAGAGCTGACAGAATAATATATAATATAATATATAATATATATATATATATATGTATATAGTATGAATAGTTGTAATATATATAATATTTTAGAATAATATATATATATATATATAGTATGAATAGTTGTAATATATATAATATTATAGAATTATATATATATATATATATATATATATATATATATATATATATATATATATATAGTATGAATAGTTGTAATATATATAATATAGAATAATATAATTGTTGTCCTACTTGATCTAGCCTTGAGTGGGTACCAGGTAAAGTCCTGGGAAGTAAAGGATGGACAGCATGATGCTGACCACATCACCCACCAAGTGCTCATTGATCTATAAAATATAGGTCTAGCCTTGTTTGCCTGCAGGCGTGGAAAAGGGTCCTTAACCTTTTTTTTGTAAACAGTTGTTGTTAACAAGAAGATAACTCCACTCTGTGATATCTCAACTGAAGGAAAAAGACTTAACCAAGTCAGTAAATACAAATATCTGGGAACAATCATATCATCAGATGGAAAATATGTGCCAGAGATTAAAAGCAGAATAGGTCAAGCAAAAACTGTGTTTCAAAAAAATTAAAAATATCTTATGCAATAAATCGCTCTCATTTAATGTCAAAAAGAGGGTGCTAAAATGTTACATAGAACCTGTTTTACTGTATGGCAGCAAATCTTGGAATGTCACTGAACAAATTAGGAAGAATTTGATAACAACTGGTTTCTGAGACGAATGCTACAAATACCTTGGACGGCCAGAGTAACTAACAACGATTGCTTGAAAGAAGCTAATGAAAGTAGATCTTCTTATGCAACAATAAGAAAGAGGCAAACACTGTTCTTTGGCCACATAATGAGAAGAGAGACACTGGAGAACATCATGACAACTGGTAAGATCAGTGGAAAAAGGGATAGAGGCAGACCAAAAGAGATGATGCTGGATGCACTGAAATGATGGCATGAAGGGATATCATCAAGAGAGCTGTTCTAGGCAACCAGGGATCATGATCTGTGGAGATGTATAAGCGCCTACGCCAATAGGCAGGGCACATGATGATAATGATGTTAACAGTGCTTGAGGTTGATTTTTTGGGTCCTCTTTTTAAATCATATTGTTTTTAAGTTAGGGGTGGGAGGGGCATTGGGAGGGTCTTGATATATACTCAAGGGGATGTCACCTAAAAAAATTGGATAAAACCACTAGGCTAGAAGAAGGAGGGCTAGTGGAATTGGCTAGAGAAAGAGAGACTTTCTGGCGTGCCGTGAAGAGAGCGACATTCTGTAACGGACTTAATGTTTTCTAAAACAAGCTAAATACTAAAAGACTGGTTTTTTTTAAATGAATCCTGTCTCTGCAGAAAATATTGTTGACATGCCACCTGCTGTTATACGAGATGTCCCGGATGAGTGGATGACTGGAAACACAGTCAGCATCTCCTGGAAGTATGGTTTTCTAGAGTGGGCCACAAGTTACAGTATTGAAATTTTAGCCTTCAAGGTAACCTTTTTTTTAACTGCTGAAACTGTTCAACTTAAAATGATAGCAAGTTTGATCACACTGCAATGAAAGCCAGGGAGCATCAGTAGCATAGTGGCTAAATGCTTGCTTGCACAGCCCGAAGGTCTTAGGTTCAGATCTGCATCAAGTCAGATTTTTTTTTTATTGACCCTGGCTCTCAAGTTGACTCATTTCTCCTTCTTCTTCTTTACCTTCACCAGCTGTGAACTCTGGTGGAAAGTTCTGGTTGTTTGTCCACTTCTGGACTGCAGTCCTGTTCCAGAACCTGAGTGTTGTGTGTGCATCTGTTTGACAGATCTGACACATTTATTGTTTCTTGCCTCTCAGACAGAGGCACTCCGATTTCAAAGGAAGCTCCCAATTAGTCGACTCTTACGACATGTTTTTGGGTAGGCAGTGGGTCTATTCTTGTTTTCCCTATAATAGGGAACCCACCGGGGAAAGGGGGGGGGGGGGGTTCTAAAATAGGTACAAGATAGTGCACTGGAAAGTAAAGGTGGCTGATGCAGGGACGACGTGTATGGACATAGCAGATATAATTATTTCTACAGACCAGACTAGCAGATAGTAAGAAATCTCTGACATTAACATGATTGTATGCACTCAGAGTGAAGCACGTCTGTGCCATGTTCAAGGTCAAGATAGAAGATGTTTAATCAACTTTTCATGGGGAAAGTCAGTAGAGGTACCTTGGGGTGGCTGCTTGTCAGGTGTTTATCCTGGCGAGCGCCTCAGTTGTCAGGTTTTTATCCCAACACTGCACACGGACAGGAGAACTTGGACTAATATCTGTGCTGTGTTGATCCTAGACAGTCCTAGATAACCAAGAAAACAGCAAAAGTGGCTCGTACAATAAATTGAAAATAGCTGTACTTGTATCCACAGGAGTAGGAAAAGGGATTGATAGATATCAAGATGAATCCAATGAGATAATATCAAGATACACAGTGAACCCCTCCGACTCTCTCCTCTGCTGGTATTAATTTATAACAAAAGCCCCCATCAAGTGTTTTACAAATAAGTGAGCTGATATAAACTAGTATGCACAAAGACACTTCAACCTAAGTATACAATTTACTCAACTGTTTTATAACAACATGAACAAGATTTTATTAATTAATAGTCTAAAAAAAAATAAATTGAGTGATATTGATCTTGCAATAATAAAAGATAATAGCTCAGTGGTGGTAATGAGTCACTCAGTGAGTTCAATATGTGCATATGTTAGTAGAGTGAGAATGGTGTTATGGTGATAATAATTCCAGCTTGTTGTCTTCTCTGCTTCAAGCAGATTGTTACACTCAGACTGTCTGCAAAGAATGGATGCCAACTAGTCACCAAAAATGTTACGTTGAAGATTTTTTTTTTTTTACTGAAGTGTATGTACATTTGTTAGACTTCATCATCATCAAGTGCCTTGCTAGCTGCCATAGGCGTTCATGTCTCTCCACAGATCTCAGTCTGTGGTGTTCTGGATCAGTTCCACCGATAATATTCCTCCATGCCACAGTCTTAAGCCATCCACCATCATTTCTCTTGGTCTGCCTCTGCTTCTTTTACTAGAGATCGTTCCACTCGTCACAGTATTTTCCAGTGCCCTTTTTTCATGATACGACTAAAGAACTTTGTCTCCTTCTCATTCTTCTTCACTTCCTCTTTTACCGCTGTGGGTGTCGAGGGAGATATAAGGTTCTGTTTCTTGCTCTTCTGGCTGCCTCGACCATAGGCACATCGTGCTGTTGTAGAGTTTCTCTGATGTTATCCTTCCATCTTGTTCTTGGTCTACCCCGTGCTCTACGTCCTTCTTCTCTTTCCATGTATGCTTTGTAAAATATGGTGTCACAAGGCATTCTTTCTAAGTGGGCAAACCATTTCACTTGCTGTCTTTGTATGTAATCCAGAATTGGTTCTGTGCCGACTTGTTCTCTTATGATCTCATTCCTGATCTTATCTTTTATGGTCACTCCTACAGCCCTTCTCAGACATCTCATTTCCGTGGTTATTAATTTTCTTTTATGGTTTGTTGTGACTGACCATGTCTGGCACTGGTAGCACAGAGTTGGAATAAATATGCTTTGAATAAGATGTCTCTTTGTGCTGATTGGGATTGTCTTATGCTGTAAGAGGGGGGCTAGCTGTCTCATTGTCTCATAGCTCCTTCTCATTATTGTATATAATGTTCTACTTTCATTAGGCATTTTCAGGCAATCATTGTTAGTTATTCTGGCAGTCCAAGGTATTCGCAACATTCTTCTCAAGAACCATATCTCAGTTGCCTCCAAACTCTTCTTAATTTGTTTGCTCATATTCCAAGATTCACTACCATACAACAGAACAGGCTTGATACAACATTTCACTACTCATTTTCTGATGTTTAATGACAATGATTTGTTAGACTTACTATGTATGTATGATTTTGCAATTTATTTGTCATAATGTGAAAGATTTCCTTTCTTGGCTTTTCTTTTCATAAAGATGGAGAATGGGAATTCTAGTCTGCAAATAATATCCAATATCACACTTGAAAAACAGGAATCGAGAAAGTATGACATTTATTTACCAAAGGACTTCTTTGGTGCCAAAGTTTCTGTTGTCAGAGTCACCAGTATACAAAATAATTGCAGCAGGTAAATCATTTACACTGAGTTGTTTTATATATTTTTTATCTTTGTAGTATTTTATATTATGTGGAAGCTGCAGGGATGGGGTATTATAGATGAATCATGAGAACAATATGAACAGAGACAGTTCTTCTTCTTCTTTTCTTGTTCACTACTCACAGAGCATGTTGAGAAAGGTGGAGACAAGCATGCTCCATGCAGAGTGGCAAACATCACTTCAGAGGTCTCAGGTAGTTAACGTCCTTTAAATATTTCCTCCATGTTATGCCAGTATGTTGGGAAATGAGCAGGCAGATAGACTGGCTGGTTCCACACTACTTGCAGGTGAATTGATGTATGACAAGCTAGATGTTGTGAGGGCTCTTTGGGAGCAAGTGAACAGTGAGTAGGCGCAAATAGATAATTACAGCTTGAGGAGAATGGCGCTGTGAGAAGTTACAGGGGATCCGGCAGATGCTCAGGGAAAGGGTGAGACGGATATACAATTAGACAGTTGCTGGTACTATCAGAATAGGAACTCTTCACTTGCTGCTGAAGACGGGGACGGAGCGCTAATGGAGGGGGGGGTGGGGGGTGTCCCAAGTGCTATGATGTTGATTCTTATTTCAGCATTCAACTCTTGTTCACTTCCTTTTTTTTTTTACCCTTTCAGATATAGAACCATTTTATTTCATTCGCAGAAAATCCCTGTGTGGGTTTCGGGGCCCTGTTGTAGGGAAAACAAGATAGACCCACTGCCTATCCAAAAGCCTGTCGTAGGAGTCGCCTAATTTAGAGCTTCTTTTGAAGTTGGAGTGCATCAGCCTGAGAAGCAAGGAACCAACAGTCTGCACACAAATGAGTCAGATCTGTCAAATAGATGCTTGTGCAACACTCAGGTTTTGAAACAGGACTGTAGTCCAGAAGTGGATGAACAAACAGAACTTTCCATCAGAGTTTACATCTGGTAAACGCAAAGAAGAAGTAGAAGATTCACAGAAATTAGTAAATTGTCCGAGTGTCCAAAAGTTTATACAGGGATTGTAGAAGTTTAGTTAGAATAAATCAGGGAACATCTTATCCTTTCACAGTAACATCTGGAGCAAGACAGGGGTGTGTCTTATCACCACTGCTGTTTATCACCTACATTGACAGTATATGCAAGAATGCCAAGCCCATGAATGAAGATCTTAGTAAGATCAACAAATTACTCTATGCAGATGACCAGGCCTTGATAGCAGATACAGCCACGAAATTGCAACAACATCTAACATTCATGAATGAAGAATGTAAAACAAATAATATGAGAATCAACACTGAAAAGACAGAAGTAATGTCAATAGGAAAAAAGAAGACAGATCTAAACATATCAATAGAATACAAAGACATTAAACAGGCATCTGAGTTTAAATATCTGGGAACTACATTTACCGAAGATGGGAAATTGGATAAAGAAATTGACATTAGATGCAGTAAAGCAAACCAAGTATTGGGACAGCTAGCACCCCTCTTACAGCATAAGACAATCCCAATCAGCACAAAGAGACATCTTATTCAAAGCATATTTATTCCAACTCTGTGCTACCAGTGCCAGACATGGTCACTCACAACAAACCATAAAAGAAAATTAGTAACCACGGAAATGAGATGTCTGAGAAGGGCTGTAGGAGTGACCATAAGAGATAAGATCAGGAATGAGATCATAAGAGAACAAGTCAGCACAGAACCAATTCTGGATTACATACAAAGACAGCAAGTGAAATGGTTTGCCCACTTAGAGAGAATGCCTTGTGACACCATACCATACAAAGCATACATGGAAAGAGAAGAAGGACGTAGAGCACGGGGTAGACCAAGAACAAGATGGAAGGATAACATCAGAGAAACTCTACAACAGCACGATGTGCCTATGGTTGAGGCAGCCAGAAGAGCTAGAAACAGAACCTTATATCTCCCTCGACACCCACAGCGGTAAAAGAGGAAGTGAAGAAGAAGAAGAAGAAGTCCCACCTTGGACACTCAACATCCTACAGAGGAATGCCAGACAAGATAGCCTCAGTAGCAACATGGTTAGATGCTTGTCTATTGGCCTGAGAGTTTTGAGTTTAAATCTTTCAACATGTGCTCTTGGCTGATGCCTATCTTAAATTTCATGTGGATGGGCTGCATCATTGGTTGTGCTGTATTCTGAGACACAGAATAATGACTTGTTCTGATCTATCAACAAAGTAAAGATGTAAAATTGAACGAAAAGTATATCAGCAAGCTTCACAATATAACGAACACAAACAAAACACAAATGTTGTGGCTATGGAGCCTTCATCAGAACATACATAAATAAACATTACCATACAAATACACACAATCACTTAGCTTAGT